CTTTCCAGGGTTTTTCAGGGGGCATCTGGATTCTGTGGACGGATGAGGTCAAGATTGATGTGTTATCATATACCCGCCAGATGGTACACGTGAGGGCAACCAAGAACGTGGACAATTGCCTGGTGTCCTTCATTTATGCTAGCCCTAGTGGGACCTTGCGAAGAGGACTATGGGCTGACCTTCGGCGCCTGGCGGAGAGTATTACAGAACCATGGCTCATAGGCGGAGATTTTAACTGTCTTCTCCGTCGATCCGAGAAGATGGGGGGCTCCTCCACGTTTTGTAATGTTAGTCAAGAGTTCGCTGATTTTATATTTGATAACAGTCTTCAAGAAGTGGCCACGGATGGGCACCGCTTCACGTGGTACCGGGATACTCACCATGGAAGAGTGGCTGAGAAGCTCGACCGCTTTATAGCCAATATACCTTGGCTCGAGAATTACGAAATGGGCCGGTCTCGGGTTTTGCCACGGGTCCAATCAGACCATGCACCACTTATGGTTGGATTTGGTCGACAAAATCTTTCACCTACCGGGGCGAAACCTTTCCGCTTCCTGGCGGCGTGGCTACTCCACCCGGAGTTTAACGACATGCTACAGGACTCATGGCAGCCATCTCCGAATTTTCTGGAGGCCGCGGAGAATTTCACCGTGCGTGCGAAGGACTGGAATTTCAACGTGTTCGGGAACATATTCCAAAAAAAGAAGAAGTTGCTAGCCCGGATAGGCGGAATTCAGCGTTGCCTACATCCCCACGCGCAACTCTTGGTTCTCGAGAAGCAGCTTCGAGGTGAATTAGAGGAAGTGATTAGACAAGAGGAGTTGCTACTGCTTCAAAAATCGACTCGGGACTGGGCCTATCTAGGGGACCGAAACACGGGATTCTACCACCGTCAAATTAAACACCGACGGAGACGAAGTCGCATAGTTGAGTTGACTGATGTAGATGGAAACTTGATTACGAACCAGGAGTCATTGAGTCGGCTAGCCACGGACTTCTTCAAGGGCATCTACGCTGCTGACCCGAGGCCGTTACCGCATGAACCCCCGACAAATTTCTTCCCTCAATATGATATTGATACTATGGGTGTCTTGGACGAAGAGATGACCAATGAAGAGATTTTTACGGCCTTAAGCAATATGGGGCCGTTAAAGGCTCCGGGTAGAGACGGCTTGAATGCTCTCTTTTTCCAGAAACACTGGGAGATAGTGGGCCCGGCAGCCTGCCAATTTATACGCGACATGTGGCAAACCGGGAATGTACCTTACGAAGCAAACCAAACCCTCCTCGTGCTGATTCCAAAAACCGAGAACGCGAGTACCATCAGACAGTTTCGCCCTATTAGCCTGTTGAACGTGATTTATAAATTGTTCACGAAAGTGTTGGTGAATAGAATGAAGAACACCTTGTCCTCGCTGGTTCACCCAGCGCAAGCTTCCTTTGTACCGGGCCGCCAAATTACGGACAATATCGTTATCGCCCAAGAACTTATCCATTCGATGCGAGGACTGCGAGGAGCGAGGGGCTTCATGGTTATTAAAGTGGATTTGGAGAAAGCGTATGACTACTTGAGTTGGGACTTTATCGAGGAGACCTTGCATCTAGCTGGATACCCTACTAAATTCACTCGAGCAGTCATGGCTTGCCTCAGATCTGCTTCCATGAACGTTTTGTGGAATGGAATCATTGGCGAGGAGTTTCGCCCCTCTCGAGGGGTTCGGCAGGGAGATCCAATTTCCCCTTATCTGTTTGTTCTCTGCATGGAGAGACTGGCACAAAGCATATGCCAATCGGTTGAGGTTCACTCATGGCGTCCCATTTCAGTTGGCCGAAATGCTGTTAAGGTACCATTTCTAATGTTCGCCGATGACCTACTCCTATTTCTGGAAGCATCCGATGACCAGGTGCGTATAGTGAGGCAAGTGCTTGATAGCTTTTGCTACCGCTCGGGGCTGAGGGTGAGCCCGGAAAAAACGCAAGTTCACTTCTCACCAAACGTACCACTGAGTGAACAAGTACGTTTGGCTACGGCTTTAGACTTCAAGTTGACTAATAACCTTGGGAAATATCTTGGCATGCCCATTCTTCACGAACGTCTAACCAAACTAACGCATGACCACATTCTTGAAAAGACGGAATCCCGTATGGCCGGATGGCGCATGAAACTGCTCTCTTTAGCTGGGAGAGTGACCCTCACTCAATCAGCCTTAAACACCCTACCGTACTACTCAATGCAGACCACATCTCTTCCAACTGCGATCATTGACGGTCTTGAGAGGAAATGTCGCGCGTTTATTTGGGGTGGCTCGAGTGATCGGAGGAAAGTTCACTTAGTGGCGTGGCCTGACGTGTGCAAACAAAAGACTGATGGAGGGTTGGGGATCAAAGACCTTCGACGAATGAATGACGCCTTGCTAATGAAAGTGGGATGGAGGCTTCTAACTAATTCGAACTCCCTTTGGGCGAGAGTGATCATGGCTAAATACGGGCTGACCTTTTCGACTAATATGGAACTGAATTTTAGGCGCCAGGGGTCACACTTGATGCGTGCACTTTTGAAAATCTGGCCACATATTCTAAAAGGCATTCGATGGGCTATTGGCAATGGCGAGAGGGTGCGGTTTTGGCTAGACTATTGGCTGGACGTTGGGGGACCGCTCATCAGGCTCGTTCGTTCACAATCGCAGGTGTTTAATATTGATGCTTCCGTTGCAGACCTTGTCGATGTAAGTGGTGGATGGAAGTGGGAGAGTATGCACGGCCTTCTCCCTTCTTCCGCAATCCTGCTCATAGCCGGCACACCCCCGCCACGGGCTGAAGCAGGTGACGATAGGATTATTTGGCGGTTTTCTCACGACGGCAGATTCTCTACGAAATCAGCTTACCAGGCCCTCTCGACAAACGGAAGCGACTGTGATAAACCTTTGTGGCGAGTCCTCTGGCGTGCGCCCGCACCGCAACGGGCTCGAACATTCATGTGGCTTGCCGCCAAGGACCGACTGCTCACCAATGCCGAACGAATGCGGCGCCACCTCTCAGTTTCAGCGGCTTGCGAGCTATGCGGGGAATCAGAGTCAATTTTACATGTGCTCCGTGACTGTGTTACTGTCCGTGAGCTCTGGACCCGTCTGCTACCTGTGCAGCACGACCCTAACTTCTTTCATTTGGCTGTTAAACCGTGGCTCAGATCGAATTTATCAAAGATGCATTTGGGGAGCTGTGAAAATTGGAGCACCGTTTTCGCGATCGCCGTTTGGCGATCTTGGAAGTGGCGCAACGAACGAATATTCAAACAAACCACCCTTAGTGCCGCGGCCAGAGCTATGGAGGTGATGCGCCTTACCAAGAGTTACATAAATGCGTCGGTGGATTATGGGAAGGCAGGGGCGGCGGTTCATGCCACGCGAATGATCAGGTGGAGTCCCCCAGGCGACGGGTGGATTAAGGTAAATTCCGATGGAGCGGCTAATACCTCAACGGGGAGGTGTTACGCGGGTGGGCTAATTCGCAATGCGGCGGGCAGATGGATGGAGGGCTTTATTTTTAATATAGGACTCTGCACCGTCACGGGAGCGGAGCTCTGGGGACTATACCAGGGACTCCAGTTGGCATGGGAGGCGGGATTTAGACAAGTTATCGTGGAGACTGACAGCCTCTGTGCCCAAAAGATGGTATGCGACCCTGGTGCCGATCTTGGACCAAATGAAGCTTTGGTTTTGTCGATTAGGAGTATGGTCAACAGAGATTGGACTGTCAAGATCCAACACGTTCACAGGGAAGCAAACCTCGCAGCCGATCATATGGCGAGCCTAGCAGAATCCTATCCACTCGGACTACATCGCATTGCGGAACCTCCCATGGGAGTAGGAGCATGGATCGAGCATGATAACGTTGGAGTGTCATACCCCCGACGAGTTCTAGCCTAGACTTGTGGCTTCTTTCTTTGTACCAAAAAAAAAAAAATTGTTCAAATTATTTTACCCTACTTCACTTGATATATTTTTTTAGAGTGGATAGTATTTTAGACTGAGATTCCTTTCCAAAATAAAATTACACATCTAGGGAAAAGTATAGGGATATTAGAAAGAAAAATTACAACAAATTCTAGAGTATAAGAAATATATATAATGATTGTACCCATTAGATAGAACTTATCATGGGAGAACTCGTTCCATAGAAACCAAATTTAGTTTAAAAACGGGTCTAGTTTTAGAGTGAGATGTACTTTTATATAACTAGTGATTATTTTATTATTGCTACTATATTAGAATGGTATAAGACCAGAGTTATATGTTTAGGCTCGTTCTTAGTTTTGCCAACTCTTATTTTATATCTACAAATCGAAACCTGGTTTAGTGGTATATAAGACCAGAGTTATAGGCCTGGATAAGCTTGTTAGACAGTTACAATAACCTTTAGTAAAAAGTTACAGCTCACGCATTCCAAAATTTATGTTTAGGTTCGTTCTTATAAGTTTTGTTGACCCTTATTTTATATCTACCAATCCAAATATGGTTCAGGTCGGGTATCCTCTAGCTCATGTTAGTTTAGTTTGTATTAAAATATTTGTAGCGTAGATGGTCAAATATAATTTTAAATATTTAGTAATTTGTATTAGAACGTTTTTTATTAAATTATTGTTGAAAATTGATATATTTTAAGTTATTATGATTAGTAGTTAGTATTGCTAGTGAGATTTTGAACATATATTGAAATAATATTTAAAATAAGATATTTCAAGTTGATTTGATGTAAAAGTAGAAGAGATATGACACGGAATGATAATTAAATAAAATTATGTGACTGAATGAATCGTAGTGTATAAACCTTTACCCACGCGTGTCCGTTATGTTAATCAATAATACTACGTAGGAAGACAACCATGCATCACTTAATGTTATGAGATTTGCAAATTTAATATAAGCAAAAATAAAACAAACATTATACAAACATTAGAGAGCCAAATCTTACACACCTCCAAGCTCTAGCTAGGGTTTCCAACCCCATAATTATACAAACATTAGAGAGCCAAATCTTACACACCTCCAAGCTCTAGCTAGGGTTTCCAAATTAAAATCAACATGGGAGATGATTCAACACAAATTATACGTACCCCAATTAATTAATGGATGATTTAAATAACCCTAGCTAGCTGGCTTGACTTCAGAAACTGATATAACCAAAAAAAATAAAAAATAAAAATTCACAAGTCACAACCACATAGAGCAAAACCATCAAACCCTAATTTAAAAGGCCACACAAAACATATTCTCTACCAAATCTTGTATCACAAATCACAATACATGAAATCAAATCTTCCTTGGGCTTTATTCTAGTCCTTCTTCAACACAAATATACTTCATCTAATCAAATGAAGTGCCGGATTTTAAGACTTATCATCACTGAACAGGTAGCCGAGAGACGAGTCTCCACCTGGTGCAGAGGTAACCCTAGTCGATGGCCGACCCTATATTATATGTCAAACAATCGTAAAAAAGGAAAAATAAAAGGAAAACAACCAAAAAAAAGAAAAAAGAAAGATTACATATATAGTTGATAACTTAATTGAAATTTGTCCAACTTAATTAAACTTTCACACGATTACACACTTACGGTGAAGTTTCCAGAATTTTGGCGGCCGGGGACTCCTTTGTTTGGAGATGGGGAATTAGGGCTCTCGGGCGGCTTGTTGTCGCCAATATCAGTACCATACGGCGGTAGACAAGTTGTTGGAGATGGCGGTGGCGGCTTGTTTTTCGAGTTATTATCGTTTTCATCGGAACCAAAGAGATAGCCCAAGGAACTCTGCCCACCTCCAGCACTTTCTCCTCTTTTCATGATGAATATTGTTGAGGTTAATTTATCTTTTTTTTTTTTTTTTT